CCCCCCCCCCCCCCCATTAAGTATTTTATTAGTATTGTCCCCCCCCTCCCTTGAAATCATTTGGTGACTTTGAACAACCTCTTTGCTAAACAAGTACTGCATTGCTGATTTGATTGTTTACACGCCATTAACTTACAAAATCGTGGTATTGCAATATACCAGGCAGTGAAAGTTTGAAGCACTCGTTGTTTGACTTCTAAGTTATCACGAGAGACCACTGGTTTTGCTATCTTAATCCCGCTTTGGAAGACATGAGCACTGACGGCAGACCCTACTTTCTTCGACGCCATTTTTCCCGTCGGTTAGTGTTCAGAGTCACTGGTAGGGGGCAGCAAGTGAAAGGCGCCTCAAGGGCGAAACACCGAGCGCAACTAGCACAATCAAGTATTTGATAAATGTGTGGTCATATGTTTCGGTAACAATAATTAACTGACTGCCTTTTATGAAGCACTGCTGCATTACGTTATGTGTGTTTATTTTCATTTTTTATTTTTTTATTTATATTTTTAGTATTTTCTGGGCTGATCCAAGTATGACTAGGGCAGAGCATGGTTCAGTAAAAAAAAAAGTCTCAATATTTCGGCAACGCCTGCTCAGAAGATTTTGTAATACAAGTAGCAGATGTTACAGTGCCTAAACTGAGCGACGCAAAGTATTACAGCATTGTTGCACTGCGCCAGAATGGCGCAAAACAGATATAGACATAGCCAGGCAGATTATCGCGTCGCAAAGAACGCTCTGCACAGGCTAACAGAGATTTGTAATGCCCGGAATGATGTATCTACACACAGGCCACGCCCAAGGCATCCAGAACTTAACGCCAGGAAACAAGATACACATCTCTTACTGTGTGTGTGTGTGTGTGTGTGTGTGTGTGTGTGTGTTATTATTATTATTATGTCAGCATAATTCATGGCAAATAATGTAATAATGAAAAAACATCTAAAAGAACAGGTTCCCACTATTGCTATGATGATATAGGCTCTATTTTATCCGTGATCAATGGAACTGTCTAATGTGCGTGAAAAAGACTGATAAATTACCCCCCACACACACACACACACACACGCACACACACACACACACACGCACACACACACACACGCACGCAGTATTTCATTCGACATCACTTCTAATTCTAATATTTGCAAATAATAAATGCAAATCATCTGTTTTGCAGAAAAGTTTATTATCACCAACATTTTACACTGTTTTATATCTATGCACAATACGAATGTTGCGTTGACAGATTTTTTTATTCATAACTTATAAGTGTTTATATGGATAGTACGCGCAATTTATATAATATGTAATATCTAAATTATCTAAACTAATATATATATATATATATATATATATATATATATATATATATATATATATATATATATATATATATATATATATATAAAAGCTCTTTTGTTTTATAACTACCAGACGTCACCTCGTTTAATGAGCTATACACACGCGTGTATAGCTTAAGCATGTTATAACAGGTTATTAACTTTACACAAGTAGTCCATAAGATGATACGGAGTCACAATAATGTAAAATACTGTAGTATTGGTGTTAAATACAAAATAATACATAATTAGTTTATGTTAAAAGATTGAAATACACATAATACATATGTTAAGTTGTTTTAACCCACGTTACATAGGTCTTTAATAAGCTTCAACCAGTCATTTTATTAACTTTACATAAGTAGGCCATAAAGAAGATACGGTATCACCATTGTGAAGAATAGTATCGGTGTTAAGTACAAAATAATATACAATTATTTTATGTTGAAAGTTTGAATACACCTAATTCATATGTAAGGTTGTTTTAACCCACTTTACAAAGGTCTTTAATAAGCTCCAATCAGTCTTCATGTAAAGCAACACAAAGTTTTATTATAATTTATATATATTCAATTATTTATTTTCAAATGAAAAGTCGGGTATTGGAAATTTACACACACACAAACACACACACACACACACACACACACACACTATTAGTACGACAGCAAAATTCATTGCAAATAATATAATAATGAAAAAGCGTCTTAATCATTATCTAAAAGAACAGGTTCCGACTATTGCTATGATGATAGGGCCTATTTTATCCGTGATCAGTGTTGTTGTTTTTAAGTTAGAAAATCATCCTCGTTAAATAATAAATGATTAAATAACAGCAACAGGCCATAGCCTGTAGTTTTTTCTACCGATGCTGTTTACAGTGAGTCGTTGATGCTAACCATCTTATCGATTTGTCTGGCCCTAGTAAGGAATATTAACTTCTAGAGTGGTTACATGCAGAGGCCGACATCGTCTTCGCAAACCATTTGACTTCTTGTGCAAAACTGTGACACATTGGTGCAGTCCAGTCATGGATCTGACATTTAAGAAATATTGATCAGTCAAGTTATTTATGTTTTTCATAAAACAAATACATTAAAAATTATTCTAAACCACTGTTTTCATACCAGCATGAGATAATTAAACGCATCGAGGAAAAAAATACTTAATGCAGAGAAACAGAATCATCTACCCCCAAGGGCCAGCCCCATTCCTAATTGCACAAAATTTTCAGAAGGGTCATAAACACCCCTGATGATAGGTTTACCAATGTTCAAAGTTTCAAGTTCCTCACTCTGATTATTTTGGAGGAGATATCGGAAATTACAAATCACAAAACGCTCGGGCATACGGACAGGCGGCNAGGGCCGTAGCCTCCGGAGGGGCAGGGGGGGCAGCTGCCCCCCCTGGAATTTGGAATTTTCCACATCGTGATTGGGGGACAACCCCCCCCCTTGGGGGCTTCGCCCCCTCATGTCCGCTTACTGCCCCCCCTGGCATTTTGCTCAGGCTACGGCCCTGGAAACAGAATCATCTACCCCCAAGGTTCAGCCCCATTCCTAATTGCACAAAAATTTCAGAAGGGTCATAAACACCCCTGATGATAGGTTTACCAATGTTCAAAGTTTCAAGTTCCTCACTCTAATTATTTTGGAGGAGATATCGGAAATTACAAATCACAAAACGCTCGGGCATACGGACAGGCGGCAAATCCCCTAACGTTTGCAAAAATTCCAAAATCACAAAATAGGAAAGGGCAACGATAAAAAAAAAATATTCGAATTTGATTAGGGCAATTTTCAAAATTGTTTTAGGTTTCAACCAAATGCTCCTACTGAAGATTCTAGCTAGTTTGATGTAACTTGATTCTGATTTCAAGTGATCGTGTCAACAAGAAAATTCCACAGCGCCGACGGCCACACGGACATTTTTGAGGTTGGTATATGTGCAAACACAGAGTGTCTGTACATAAAATCATGCCTTCACAGTATATTTCCCTATATTAGTGAGACTGTTTATTTCTTTGCCGACAGGGACGTCTTTATCAGATTTGCTCGACAGATAGCCGTGGTTGGACGTTGACGGAGTGAAGGTCTCTGAGGGCTGGGCAAGGTTGAGTAGTTGCTTGCAACGGCGACGGAACTCGCGGTTGGTGACAAGGTATACCGTGCAGTTGACGCTGGAGTGAAGGTGAGCGAGGAGAGTGACCCACAGGTGAATCTGATATGGGAACCTGTTGTCGGCGTCAAGAACGATGACAAATGCGTAGGGGGTCCAACAAATGACGAAGGCGAAGAAGATGACAACCAAGGTGCGGGCCATGCTGACGGTTTTGAAAAAGGTACGGTCTGCATCTGGATTCGCGCTGAACTTTGCCAGAGAGGTCTGACTGCGGTACAACTTCCAAAAGATACGAATGTAGCAATAGGCCATGAACACCAGAGGTCCACCAATCAGAGCAACTGACACGAAGAAGGTGTAAGAGAAGCTGGCAGTTCTGTCCCAGATGCAGGAATGGTTCTTCTCATCAAAGCCGTGGTCGCCCCAGCCAATGAAGTTGGGCATTTCCAGCAAGAAGGCGCAGACCCAGAAGAAGATACACATCAAGATGCTGCTGAGACGGTTGTAAATACGATCATAGATGTGGTTGTGGCAAGTGTAAATGTACCTGTAAAATAAAAGGGATAGATAGATAGATATATATTTGAAAATCTCCAAAAGTCATACTTTTATGTCTAAATATCTCGCTGTTTAGCTATTTATCTTTCCCGATTCAGACCTCAAAAATGATGAACACCTAAGAATAAAGCAGTAATCTTTTTTCGATTAATTGCATGTATTGAATATATTGCTTACTTCCTTTCAATATTTCGAGGTCTGTCTTGACCATGTTCATCACGGAATGAAGTGAAATACATGTCATGTGTTAAGATTATGTGAAAAAAAATAAAACGAATTACGGTGAAGAGCTTGAAACTTTGGGGATGTGTGTGTGTGTGTGTGTGTGTGTGTGTGTGTGTGATTTCCTAACATCAAGGATGCGTATGAGAGTGCATGATTCTATTTTTCACATAGAGATGCTGTTCCATCGATATTTCTAAATAGTCATGCTTGAAAACTGATGACTTATTTTGTTATTATGATGTTTTCTACCAATAATCAATACCCAGGCAGTGCTGTAGACATCTATACGGGTGAGACCCATTGACAGTGTGGCGAAGTCATCTAGTTCTTAATGCATGTTCAAAGGTAAGCTCATTTTTACCTATTTAGGGTCACCCCGCTGAGACTTAGGAACGCACAAACGCATGCCGTCAAGCACATAGATGCAATTCCCTCACAAAGCCACCACTTGTCCTGGAAAAACTCCTCTCCTTTGATGGCTCCTGAAAACAGTAAGGAAAAGTAAGAAAAACAGGTAAAAATGTTGTAATATTGTAAGTTTTATTTTGTGGAAAGACGTCACGTATTTCAAATTCCATTTTGGTTTGGTATTTATAGTGGTATATTCCATTGCAATAAGGAAATTGGCAGGAATCAGTACTTAAGGGAATTGACGTAAGAAATACATCCAAAATCAATAATATTTTAATAAATCTCAATAACGGAATTCGTATCGAAAGAATACAGGATATGTATTGTCTTTAATCTTCTTCAGTATCTTTCCTGTTAATCTACACTATATTATGTTCAAATTAGATTCATTGTTGGTACATTCTTTTTCAAGCAATTAAGTATTTAGTCCCTGCACAAAGTATTTTTTCACAAAAGTGAATATTCAAAGAATGACTTCAACCACCTTAAGCCAATTTGAAGAGAGGTGACAAAAAAGCTGATCTAGTATTTATAAAATATTTTGGTTTAAAACTCGACTGGTAATGGTCAATAAATACTGCCTCTTAGTATGATTTTATTTGCCCAAAGAAAGACACAAATGAAAAGACACATTTTATGTCGTATAGAATTACGTTTTGCTTGAATACTTGACATCCTATGTTTTTTCATAGATCTGAGATTCCAGTTAACGCCATCTGCGTAGTTAATATGGCTTCATTAATGACAAATTGTCTGTTCGTGTGTCTCAGGTGTATATAAGACTCGTGGCTCCGTTTACACGTTTAGGTTTGATTTTCAGTTGATGTAAATAAGATATACTAGATTGTGTTGTTTAGAATAAAAATCAGTTTTATATCCTTCGAAAAGATGCATTCAGTTTTACAAACCATCTCTGAGGCAAAGGTGAAAAAAGAAAAATGCAAATGAATGATGGCTGATTGAAACAATCAAATGAATAGAAGGTATATTTATAACATTGTTCTGTAATGTATATAATATTACTTTTTTAAATATGACAATTATAATTAGTAAAAAAAGGTGAATAAAGAATGAAAAAAGGGAATCTACAAGTTACCTATGATGCAAAGAGGATCTGCCACACCGCTCACGCAGAGGTCAGCAATGGCGAGGTTGATGAGAAATTCGCTTCCAACCTTACTGAAACCCGGCATGCGTCCGCAACAGAAGACGGACAGTACCACGCAGTTGCCTATCACGCCCATCAGCAAGGCAACGCTGGTGAGAGACACATATATTGTGCCAATCACCGGGTCGGTGACAATCAGAGGCTCTGCAAACTGGCGTTTTTCCGGTGCCGGGGAGGCCATTGGCAGCATTGTTGAGTTCTGCTCGTCGCTCATGTAGGTTGTGGTGATGCTTGAAGCAAGTTGTGTGACCGTAGCCATTTGCCACCCCTCCGAGGTTAACGCAGTCGGATTTGGAGCTTTCGATGTTTTGGCGGTCGTCAATTCGCCAGTGCCCCCAAGCACAGTTGAAGTAATGAAGGCAACGAACACTGCTGGGACGGTGGCATTTGACAGCGGACCACCAAGGTTTAAAACCTCCATTCTTCTTCAGTAACAAGAATTTATACCTGAAGAAAAAACCGAGCGCATCATGTGTTAATTTAAGTTGAGTGGTTTTTTAAAGATGTAGGTGCTTATGAGAGAGGGATAAACAGAAAGAACGAGAAAGTGAGAGAAAGAAGCAGTCTTGGACTAAAATCCACAAAGTCGTTGACATGTTCGTTCAGTTTTACAACGCAGTGCACTACTAGAAAATAACTTTTGATTGGGAATTCAGAAGTCGGAAGAACACCTTAAAGACCAACAACGTGCGTTAGACCAGAATTTAGAAAGAAAAAAAAACGCATTTTTCTGACAACGTCAATTTTCCCATAATCACCAAGGTATACCCTATCCAAAACCGTTAAATAAAGATTCATAGAGCCGTTTTTGAGTTCTCTCGTCCTCGCCAGTTTTCACCTTCAGTAAGACTTCCAGAAACTCGAAATGTTTCATAAGTTACACATGAATGAATGAATAAATTACTATAGCTAAGACCAGAAAGTTCCATGGCATATATTTGATATTTTTCAGAGATTATGATATTTTAAAAATCAATTTTATCAGCGTAAAAGATAATGTTTAACAAACTAGGTGGATTAGATGCCTAACCACAGGACATGCCTTGAAGTAGAGAAATATCAATATGTTTGAGATCAAGTTCTCGCTAATTTGCGTGAAATAAACACCAACACTTTGTTTTACTTATCAACCTTGCTCCCTTGCTGATTGATTATTCTGTGGTTTCCCATCCATTAATTTGTGACCTTTAAAAAATCGATACTTAAGACGCCTTAACTCTTAGACTTCGAAGAGGGATGACTGCAAAAACTATTCATTCGGAAATGTTGACCTTGTTTTATGGTGATGAAGTCAAATATCAGTGTTAATTGATAGCTTCTTGTCTGTGGTCATGTCGTCTTTCATTTGTATTTAATAATAATAATAATAATAATAATAATAATAATAATAATACTCTTTTATGAACACAAAACATTTATACAACTAGAAGTTACAAGCATTAAAAATCTAGCAAAGTGTAACCAATTTATTGCGCTTTGCATATAAATCTCAATTAGTGGTAATTAAGGGTAAAAAAATGGCCAAATCTACACACGGCGGATAAAAGCACAGAATTTTGCATGCGGTTACCTTTTGACATACTCAAAATGTACCATTCGATCAAAAAAAAACATATAAATATTTTTATCAAATAAAGTTTTTGTCAATCTTTCCCACATCCTTATTACCTATATAATGCCTAACTATCAAAGAGGAAACGATTTCCGTGGACTTTTTGAAAAATTCCAAGATAGCCGCCATTTGCCATAGTAATAGTAGTACATGTACAAGGGGTTTCAACTAATGCCAACTAGGGAGATAATATAATGTTATGAAGAAATTAGGTTTGCTTTTGGGTATTTTCCACATCTTTAAAACCCATAAAATATATATGTGCTGAGAACCTTGTGTGTATATCCTTGCACAATTTGAAAAAAAAAGATGACATATGCCATAGGAGGTGGGCTTTAGTTACTGCCAGAGAGAGATTGGGTTTAACATTAAATGAAGCTAAATTTAGGTATGTCTGTTTGTCTTTCAGTGTTTTTTTTTTCATTATTACCCCATAATACTTATCTGGTAGGTAAAAAATGTGCACATTTGATTGTTTTGAGGAAATACAAGATGGCCGTCGTTTGCCATAGTGCATGGTCATCATGATGTTTTGTCAAGGGTTCACACTTGTAACCCACCAGATATTTATGTCAGAGTTAAAGGTATATAATTAATACTCAGAGACAAAACTTATTTTAATTGGACCCTGTGTATCTCTGCCAGTAGGCCTAGTTGAAACCCGATTACTAGTATCCTTATTAAAAATTGCAGCCATCTTGGATTTTCATAAATACCCATGGATACACACTTGCTACATAACAGATTTATATAAAATAAGGTTAATAAAGAAGCGGACATAACTGAACATCAAACATTAGCTTTATTCCATGATTTAATCCATGTCTATGTTCCGTTAATTGACACATATTTACATTTGAATGATACATTCTTATGGCAACCGTTAGCCACTTTGGTTTTCTCAGAATAATACATACTTTCTACACTACACCAAAAATCTTACATAAGGGAAATATGAATATGAAACCATTTAAAAACAATCTAAAGTTAACTTCAAAATGGACTCAATGTCTCTCTGGCATTATTTGAAGTCTGTGTATTAGTATTCTTATGGCAAAAGGCCAAGTACCTGTATATATAGGGGAATTAACCAAGGGTATGAAAAAACATTAAATATTTTGAAAAACAAATCCTTGGTTACATAATTGTATAATGAACCCAATGTCTCTCTGACTGCAATTAAAACGTGCCCATTAGTACTGATATGTAAAATAGAAATCATCTTGGGTTTTCTCAGAATATCCAAGAGTGCACACTTGTTACCCAACAGATATAATGATATATTTCCTCAGAGACAAAACTTATTTTAATTGGACCCTATATATCTCTGGCAGTATTTGAAACCCAATTACTAGTATCCCTATAAGACTGCAGCCATCTTGGAAAATACACACGGATACACACTTGCTACACACCAGATTTATATAGAATAAGGTTAATAAGGAAGCGGACATAACTGAACATCAAACATTAGCTTACATATAATAAAGATGTGCAAATCCCTTAGAAACAAACACAATTGTTAATAAACACTACATCTCTCTGGTAGAAGATGAAAAGCCAGGCATGTACAGTTGTAATGGTATTCCTATGGCAAATGGCGGCCAACTTGGATTTTCTTAAAACGATCAAATATGCACATTTATGACCTACCAGATAGGTATTATGGAGTTATAATGATATCAAAAATACTGAATAACAATCTGAATTTGATAGTGAATAAAGTACCTTTGTAGCTGGCAACTTTGTTTTTGTCTTTTTCAGAAAGTCCAAGAAAACCCGTTTCCTCCCTGACAAGCATGCATTTAATGGGAAAAAAGGATGTGGAAAAAATTTATTTGATAAAAATCAATATAAGTATGTATATATTTCTATAGAATTCCGTAAATTGAGGGCCATTTTGGATTTTTGACCAAACGGTAAATGTTTTCAGAGGGCTACGGCTCTAATTTGATTTAGAATGCCGAAAGGTAACTACATGTACATGCCAAATGGTGCTTTTATAGGCCGTGTCACGATTTTTTCGTTAAGCCACCCAACTATATGTCCCTTGCATAATATCGAAAGCANGATTATTTTGGAGGAGATATCGGAAATTACAAATCACAAAACGCTCGGGCATACGGACAGGCGGCAAATCCCCTAACGTTTGCAAAAATTCCAAAATCACAAAAGAGGAAAGGGCAACGATAAAAAAAAAATATTCGAATTTGATTAGGGCAATTTTCAAAATTGTTTTAGGTTTCAACCAAATGCTCCTACTGAAGATTCTAGCTTGATGTAACTTGTTTCTGATTCCAAGTGATCGTGTCAACAAGAAAATTCCACAGCGCCGACGGCCACACGGACATTTTTGAGGTTGGTATATGTGCAAACACAAAGTGTCTGTACATAAAATCATGCCTTCACAGTATATTTCCCTATATTAGTGAGACTGTTTATTTCTTTGCCGACAGGGACGTCTTTATCAGATTTGCTCGACAGATAGCCGTGGTTGGACGTTGACGGAGTGAAGGTCTCTGAGGGCTGGGCAAGGTTGAGTAGTTGCTTGCAACGGCGACGGAACTCGCGGTTGGTGACAAGGTATACCGTGCAGTTGACGCTGGAGTGAAGGTGAGCGAGGAGAGTGACCCACAGGTGAATCTGATATGGGAACCTGTTGTCGGCGTCAAGAACGATGACAAATGCGTAGGGGGTCCAACAAATGACGAAGGCGAAGAAGATGACAACCAAGGTGCGGGCCATGCTGACAGTTTTGAAAAAGGTACGGTCTGCATCTGGATTCGCGCTGAACTTTGCCAGAGAGGTCTGACTGCGGTACAACTTCCAAAAGATACGAATGTAGCAATAGGCCATGAACACCAGAGGTCCACCAATCAGAGCAACTGACACGAAGAAGGTGTAAGAGAAGCTGGCAGTTCTGTCCCAGATGCAGGAATGGTTCTTCTCATCAAAGCCGTGGTCGCCCCAGCCAATGAAGTTGGGCATTTCCAGCAAGAAGGCGCAGACCCAGAAGAAGATACACATCAAGATGCTGCTGAGACGGTTGTAAATACGATCATAGATGTGGTTGTGGCAAGTGTAAATGTACCTGTAAAATTAAAGGGATAGATAGATAGATAGATAGATAGATAGATAGATAGATATTTGAAAATCTCCAAAAGTCATACTTTTATGTCTAAATATCTCGCTGTTTAGCTATTTATCTTTCCCGATTCAGACCTCAAAAATAATGAACACCTAAGAATAAAGCAGTAATCTTTCTTCGATTAATTGCATGTATTGAATATATTGCTTACTTCCTTTCAATATTTCGAGGTCTGTCTTGACCATGTTCATCACGGAATGAAGTGAAATACATGTCATGTGATAAGATTATGTGAAAAAAAAAATAAAACGAATTACGGTGAAGAGCTTGAAACTTTGGGGATGTGTGTGTGTGTGTGTGTGTGTGTGTGTGTGTGATTTCCTAACATCAAGGATGCGTATGGGAGTGCATGATTCTATTTTTCACATAGAGATGTTGTTCCATCGATATTTCTAAATAGTCATGCTTGAAAACTGATGACTTATTTTGTTATTATGATGTTTTCTACCAATAATCAATACCCTGGCAGTGCTG